CGAGTCCCCGCGGCCGGTGACAGCTCCCCCGGCCGCTAGTGCGCGCGGCCCGACGCTCCCGCGGCCATCCCTGAGCCAGGTGCGCCCCGGGGTTCGGCTGTTCTCCTGGTCACCGTCTGTTCCCGGCCGGTCTCAACAGTGACAGGCGTCTCCCGCATCCGAAAGAGGTCAAAAATGGGAAGCGCAAGGCTTTCTAGGTGATGTCCATGCCAAGGTGACTTCCCCCCCCACCCCTGTGTTTTTATGCGAAGTTGAGCTTCGGAAACCTGTTAACTTACTCCTGGAATACATTTTTCGTAGATTCAGCTGACAGGGTGGTCGTGACCGTGAAGTTCAGTAGTTTCCTCCGAAATGTGTGGCACCCCTTAAAACGTTACATGTGGACTTTTCCTAAAACTGAAACTTCTGCCAGGAGGAACAGCTTTGCCACACAAGAAAACAAGTACCACTTTTGAGCCCCACCGTCCGTAAACACTTTAAAGCATACTGCTAAAATATTAGGATTCCTGTGTGTTCTCGGGTCTTATTATTTTAGAAGAATTTTTAATAACTTTGGTGTTCATAGTGAAACTTTGTAGTCAGCCCGGAAGAAAAGGGAAGATTTTGACATGACCCTTTCGTTTGGTATACGAGTGATTGATTACATTTTAATTCTTACATAGTAAGTCCAAGATCTTGGACAGCAACTTGATGGCATTTCTTCCCACTTATTCCAAGCTGCTACAGTGGAATAGGGGCTGTGTTAGCCTCTAGAGCGTGCAGCCTGTATAACACACATCCAAGTTATCATTCGCTGTGGGGTTGAAGTTTTAGCAGTACAAAATGACTGGTGGATAGATCTGATAGAGTTGCTCCTTCTCAGAATTGGATGTAGAGTTTTACGTCGGTCTCCATGTCTTTGAAAACTTGGGCACAGGCTGTGCCTTGTTTGGCCTTTTTCGATTAGCCACTTCAAATTTTTCCAGCATTCTCTATTTGGTTTAGTTGTCGGTTAAACTCTCCCCTGCAAGAGTATTTGCTTTCTGAATTGGCAGGACCTAATAAGACAAAGTCTTCCATCTCTCGGCTGCTTGTTTACTTAGATCTGACTGCTGCAAGCAAATAGAGGTGACCAGGTTTCAGTACAGTTTCTTTGAAATATTTTTGAGCTTCGGGAAAGCCGTTACTGTTGAAACCCTGTGTTGTTTGCATGAAGAAAAGAACGAAGCTGTGAGGAGCCCTTGGTGAACTCAGACCTTGAACTTGTGAAGAGGTGTACTTTTCTAGGATGCTCCTGGATACTTGGATTTCCATAAACTCACCTCTTAGCACACACTTGTTCTTCCCCAAGGCAGTCCACTGAGCTGAGTGTACTTAGTAGGTCAAAAGGTAGAGTTGTCAACTTCAGTCCTTACTAGGGAGATACAGCATTAGCTATTGGGATGGCCCTCCTTGTTCCTCTGTCCATCAGTCTTGTGTAAAGGACGGATAGTGGCTACCCCTATTTTGGTAGGCGACATCAGGAACCTAGGCAAGCATCACAGGGCCATTTCAGTTAGAGGTACCAACCAGTGGTTTTCCTCTGTGGGTTTCATGTGAACCACCCTCTTCTGTCCCCTGGTTTCTGACTTTAAGATTCAAGCAGCTTTCACTGTTTCTAATGTCTGCCCACCTCTGACTGGGACTTCATTTGGCAGTGGCATCTGCCTTGAGTAGAAATCTATACGTTCTTGATTCACCTCCAGTGCTTTCTTCCAATGCTGTTTGTTAATCTTTCTTTGCCTCCTTTCCAAAATAGAGGAAACTTACCTGTTGGGCCAGAGAGCACCACCTAGTGTCAGACTGGAGACATCGCTCCCTGAGTCATAGTCTCTCCTAAAACTGGGTGCTCACACTAAATAAAGTATTACTTGACCCTTCTCTGTATAAAGGCTCCTGTGGACTTGCCCTGGCCTCCAGAGCTCTGCAAGCTAGGGCAATCTTTACTGCTCCCTTTGAAAGTCATAATCTTGGTGTCTAGATGGCCCTAACCATCACTTAGTCGCAATGTCCCCTTTACCATTTTCCCCCAAGGAATTCAGGGCTTTTATTATAAGACATTCGTTGGTCAGTTCGAACAGTCTAGTCTCTTTAAATGAATATCCAGTTAAGATGCGTATCCATACTTTAAGTGAATTAAAATGAAATATAGTGGTCAAGATTCACTTTGTTATTGTATTCCTGCCCATCCTAATTATCTGTTGAAGAATATATATATATATATGTATATTAGTTTGAGTATATACAGCTATAAATATGACATGCATTTATCTGTCAGTTATGTTTTCTTCCTGCTTCTTTGCAGACTCTGCTCTCATTTGATTCTCAGCAGCATCTTTTTTTTTTTTATACTCGTGTATTGTCTGACAGATTCTAGTTCTTACACGTTAACACAGTTAGAAATGGATACCCAACTCACCATTCTTGTATGTGGTCTCTGGCCTCGAACTCTGGGAATAGTGATCACCAAGAACTGCACTCTCACCTTGTTCTTTTTTCATACTCTTAAATTCTTGCCTTTTCATGTTGCACTTTTGAACATAAACCAGATAGTAAGTAGTGCATATCATCCTATTCCTGTGTTGTTCTGTTTGACTCATCCACAAAGTTCCAGGTGAGAGAGACTCTATGTAACTGTACTTGCCTTTGGGAATTGATACCCAGCAAGTCAACTTTGGACTACAAATTAGGCAATCTGTGTTCTTAGCCTGGTTCAGTTGTTGAATTGCTTTTGTTTAGACTACTTGCCTAATCCACTTGGCTCTATTTCATCGAGCCACTACTAAATAGTATTTAACTTAGCTGTTTTACTCTCCATGGAGACTTAACAGAGGTTTGTTGTAAGATAAACATGACACCTGCCCAGGAGCATGAAACAGTTCCCAATAAGGCAGGTGTAGGAGGTGAGCAGATAAGCCTTGCTTGTAAAATGAGCCTGATGTCAGGTGTGGTCATCAGTGCTGTTGGTGATGGAACGGTGCTGACTTACGGCGCTCACCCTTGTCCCACTTGTTTCCTCGCCTTGCCTTTGCACATCTTGCTGTAGCTCCATGAGCAGAAAGAAAAACTGAAACCCAGAAAAGCCAACTGGTTTTCTGTTACCAGTTCCCACAGATTGACAATGGGCTTCAAACAATTCATAGTTCCTGCATCTTATTGTTTGTGACCTGTAAGCTGGCTACAGGATTGTTGATACATTTCTCACATTTTTAATCCTCTGTTAACGTTAAGATGTTGCTTTCATTTTTATACCTTACTGTCTCTAGACTCTTCCTCTTTACTGTCCTAAATGAGACCGTAAATGTTTTTTAAAGGGTGGGAGGCAGAAGTAGGAAGATTCTGAGTTCAAGGCCGGCCTCGCTTACAAGGGGAGCCCAACTCTCAAAAACACAAAACAAACAATAAAAAGCTTCAAGAATTTGAATATAGTATGCAAAATGGTTCTTTTTCTTACATTTGATTTAGGAGGGCAAAACTACTATTGTGTTGTCTCCTAGGAAAGTTGATTCCTAGTTTCCCTGTACAGAATATGCCTATGTGTAAGAAAAGTATGTTTACTATTTAAGGTATCTGTTTAAACTTCAGAAACACTTTCTTTTCTTAAGGCTGGAGATATGCATGTTTCATAGTTTCTTAACAGTCAACCAGCATTCCTTTCCAATTTGCTTTTTTTTAATGTGCAGTGTAGTATTTTAAGAAAGATATATTTAGACATATTGCTGAACATATAAATATATGTATGATTACTCATTGTTTTAATAAATACTTTTTGATCCTAGCTTCTAGTTTCTAAAGTAAGCTGTAGTAAGCTGTCTCTGATGACTAAGACTAATAGTTCTGTTTCAGGGGTGAGGAAAGGATTGATACATTTATTTCTCAACTTAAAGTGTGGGTTGACAGAGCATTTCTGTGATAGGTGAATATTGATTTAAATACACTGGTGGAATTGATTTGGAGTTACGATTGGTGTTATTTTACTTTATTTATGTGTACAGTCCTCTAATATAGACATACTTATAATTAAATAGTAAAGTAGCTCTGTTTTCAAAAGATTATACCCAAAGTCATAGTACAAGTAAACTCAGATAAGTCTATAGAATGCCACCTCTCCAGGGAGTGAGGGGGACAATGGCACAGGCAGCAAGGCTAACATGACAGATCAGGTCCAAGGCAGTGGACGCCCCTTCCTTTGACCTGGGTCAGAGCAGACTCTAGCCAGGTCTTTTTCTCTAAAATAACCAACAGGGGGTGTGTGAATGTAATCATGGCAGGAGAGAGAGCGCGATGCGTTTGCCAGTCAGAGTTCTGGGCTTTGCTCTCATGTTTGTCCTTTAAGTGGGTCGACAGATCTGTTGATTTTCTCTTTCTTCATTTGTATTATGTGAATACTGTTGTCTCCCCCTCTTTAGTTATAATTGTTCTGAGAATTATAAGATGCGGTGAAGAGAAGACATTTGTAAGCTGCCTCAGAGTAGAAGGACCCCATCCCTTAAACAGGGTCTCACCTCCTTATTGTTAGGAAGGCAGGGTGAGGCCTTCAAGCTCTTTTCCACCGTGAAGCCTGGGGTTTGAGTCAGCATTATTTACTGTATCTTTGAAAAGCATTCTCCAGCTCATTAGCATGGTGTTGTGCAGAGACAACTGTTACATTTAGAGCTTGCTTAGGAGGGACATTATAAAAATAAGGCACAAGGTACTTGGTTTATGGTCTCCTAAGGGAGTGTGCTGGCTTAGTGTGGCTGCACAGTAGTGACCTTAGGTTCTGTGGAAGTACAGAGACTAGGGACTGGTGGGGTACTAGGTTTTTCAGAAGGAGTAGAGGTGTCTGTTTTAAAAAACACTTGGGAACTGGGCACGGTGTCTCATGTCTATAATTCTAGTACCTTGGAACAGAGACAGGAGGATCACTGCAAGTTTGAGGCCAGCCTGATCTGTATGTGAGTTCTAGACCAGCCAGCCATAGCAACTCCCTGTCTCAAAAAAGAACAGTACCGGAATGTGCAATCTAGTAGTGAAAAACGTCCAGTTGACCAGAACTCTGACTCTGGTCTATCACTTGGTTTGGGGGTAACCTTGGAGATGCCTTTGCTTCTCTGTGCCTTGGTTTTCTTCATCTACAAGCCAGAGATAGCTATAGAACTGGTTTTACAGTTTTGAGTGCTTGTAATTAAAGAATGCTCTTTTATGATTTAATGTTTTAGCATTATAGAATCTAACTTGGGGCATGAGAGATGGCTCAGCAGTTAAGAATTTAACTTGGTGCTTAACACTAAGATTCTTGTATTTCTGAGGTAGATTCCTCACATGATCCTCCTTTGTGTTTATAATATAGTCGTAACATTTTTGTGCACATCATAACATGTTTATGAAATTAATTAATGTAGGTTATATTGTTTGTTAAATGTACTTGTGATACTTTCCACTGTAGAACCAGGATTGCAGAGATAGTATTAGTAGATATTAGGTAACAAGCACACCAGAAATGGTTACTATTACAGTTAATATGTAGACACGACACTGCATCTGCCTTGTGGTTTTCATCTGCTCTCCCACGAATACTGGCAAGTGCTCGGGATCTGTGTGGAAGGCAAGACACAAACAGGTGGAACTGGCAGCAGGCTCAGCTTTCTCTTTTGGGAACTTGAGATCTGTGACTGGACCATCACGGACCTCAAAGGTGGGAGAGCTGGTGTAGTAGTCCCTTCTCCAGCTGACCCCATGTTCTTTTTGTGGGCCAGAAAACACTGACTATGTCAAGAACTGACCTCTGTAGTCACCAAGGAAAACACCCTCGTGGCAGAGAATTTACCCAGTAAATAAGGTGTATCCAGGACTTTTTGTTATAGTTTGTTTTTTTAAAGTATAAAACTATTGTATAATGGCCTGCCTGTGTGTCTCTTTAGTACAGATGACAGAGTCCTAGTATCCCCTACTTCTGGCTCATGTTGAGCAGGAAACCTCCGATCCTGAGATGGCACCTTGGCACTGCTCTCGGGGGTTAGGCCCAGGCCCCTTAGGCTGTCATTTATAATCATAATCACTGAGTACCATGGGCCAAGGCTGGTGGGCCTTAGGTGCTGCCAACTGCCCAGTCTCAGAACAGTGCCAGCCGTAGCACCCAGCAGCTCTTCTCTTCTAGAGACTTGTATTCTCTTCCTTTCACTTCTGAGTTGATTGTCCTTTAAAAGTGTATCATTGATACTTATTAATTCCACTAATGTTGAACATTTGGGTTAATCCTACTTTTATGTTCATGTAGATCCCCCATGTGAAGTCAGTGTTAAATAAGATTAGATGGGCAGTGCCAACAGTTGACACCAAACTCAGTGTAAGCGTAGCTTTCTTTAGTATTAGCGTTTCTCGTGCGCAGCACATTGGGGCTTTCTTTTTTTCTTAAGATTTTTCTATAGTTCTAGAAAGTTTCTCACCCTTTTTACTCTTTGTGGGTGAGGTTATAGCATACCTTTAAGTCTGAACATCTGTTAATATAAGCAGAAGCATTTGTATTTTGTGTCTACTTCAGCCCGTGACTTAACTGTAACACCCTAAGAAGGGAAAGCAGGGTGCACAGTGACCCTCCCAAGCCTGTGCCAAGCAACTATGGGGAAATGGTGACATTTCTCCCCATGAAGTCTTGCCCTCCCCCATTTCAAACTCAGATATTTCTCAGTATATTACCAATTCTGCAAATACAATATTAGTCTGCTGTTTAGAGGTGTGTGTATGTGTGTACTTACATACAGCATACCACTTAGCAGAATAAGTCAGGTATGTGACCAGAGCTAGGAATCGTTCCGGTGCTGATGGAAGTAAGCTTTAGGGCATACTGTTCAGACCCTGCTAAGCCTGCGTCTGGTTCCCAAGGGCCTTCTGAGGCTCATTTTGACTGTGCCCACTTGCCACATTTGTTAGAGCAGAGCGCAAACTCAGAGGTGAGTTTGAAAACTTTTGCTATCCTGGAGGAAAGTTTGGCCTCCTGTAGAGTGAGATGTTGAGGTACCATGGGAAACGTGGCACACCAGAAAGAATGGGCTTGAGCATCTCCACCTCAGCTGCTTACCTCGAATCCAGCAGAGCCGAACATTTCAGCTGCTTTGGCCTTGCCTTCCTCTACTAATCTAAACTGCCCGATAAACTTATGCTGGAGCAGCAGAGGAAACATGCACAAGTGGCCCAGCCTTTGGAAAGGGAGGTTCCATTTTGTGTGGCTAATGACCTCAAGGCGGTGGGAAACTTTCGCATAGCAGGAATAAGCTTTCACGGGGAGAGGTGCCGCTGCTAGCCCACTTCTGCAGGCTCTCAGGGCTCACCCAAGCAGGAGGCAGCTGACCTGTATCTGCATGACTGCCCTGGCATAGTGATGGGCTGAAAGCAGTGCCTTCAGGCCTCTTGGCTCCTGGAATACCTACCCGATGGAGTCTTCACAGCTACTCTTTCTTCTGTGTCTCTACGGTCCATCCACACCTGTAGCACCATGAGACCCAGATCTGGTTAGAAAGATGTTCTGACTTCTCTGGCTCTCGGTAACCATCCCTTCCATGCTCCTGTAGTGTTTTCAGTTTGTACACCAGTCCCCAACAGTACCCTCCAGTCATTTGGGTGTCCCTCTCTTCAAGGCACAGATTGTGGCATTCCCCTTTTGCTTCCTATGTGTACTACTTATGGCCCCAGCTCACCTGTGTGTTCCGTGATAAACACTGTTAATTTTGTTTTGTGTCATTTTCTTTTTTCTGTAGAACTTTCATTATTGAGGTTCCTCAGTGCTGAACTAACAAGAGGGTACTTCCTCGAACATAACGAGGCCAAGTATACAGAGCGAAGAGAAAGAGTGTACACTTGTATGCGAATACCAAGAGAATTGGAAAAGGTACTTTTTTTTATTTCCAAACATCATTTGAAAGTTTTAATTGTGAAAAAAATTGTGAACAGCTTCTGTTGAGTTTTTAAACTACTGTAAATAACATGGTAAGTGATTGAGCATGTCTGGGGATAAAGGCTGCTGTGTAGAAAGCGACTTACGGCAGCTGGTTCTAGTGTGAAGGGAGCATTGCTGACTCTCTCCACGCCTTAGTTTGGTACTTACTAAACTTAAATATTTTCATCGTGTCCAAACAGCCTTATCCAGGATCTACTTTCTGTCTGAGCTCTGCTGGCTCCCTTCAGTTGTGTGCGTCTAGAATAGCACTTTCTTTGTTTTCCACTTACGGTATTTAATTTCAGCCTTTTCTGGGGCTTCAGTTTCTTAGAATAGCCACATGTTTGAAGACATAGGTGATAAACCTTCAAAGGAAAAAGATGACTTGTTTAACCCTTGTCACAGAAAGCGTCCTGTTAAAGGAAAACACAGATAAAAGAAGACCAAGTTTCGGTAGCTCGTTGCAAGGTCAGTCAGAGGACAGGAAAGCCCTTTTCCTCTGATGCTGCTGGACTAGGAGTCCTGAGAGATTTCAGATCTTATTACAAGGGAAGATGTATGAGCTAACGCATTGGTTTTTATAGTAACAGAAGGCTTGTCGAGTCTGGCTGCTTCCTCAGAGCTGTGCTTCCTATTAGAATGGCTGTGGGGAGCTTCCCAGCTTGTTCTTCTCTTGCACTGTGAAGCAAGAGGTGTGGCAGGTGGTGGGAAGCCAGCACCCAGCCACAGTGGATGAGGAGAAGAAACAAATGTAGGCAGCCAGCTTCAGCAAATTTACTTTGTTGAGGTTCTTGGTAGAGTGTCACATGCTACAGATTTGAGGGAGCTGGCACTGGAGTGAGATTTGAGGTTTAGAGGACTGCCGAAGAGAGGCAGAGGCCCTGTGTGTGTCAGTGATCATGTCTCTATGAGGACGATGGAGGAGCCCTGGAGCAGCCTAAGGGACTGACGGAGGGGGAGGGCTCTGCAGCATCCCTTTCTCAGCACCAGAGTAGCTGCATTTTCTCTTGGGGGATTCAGCTAAAATTGTGTCTGGGGCTGGCAAGGTGAGACAGATGTTTGTTATGGGAAGAAAGGAGATTTGAAATCAGTTATATTGGAAAACACTGTTTGGGTGCCTTTTAAATCTCATTGTTTATTTTTTCCAGTGATAAACCATGGGGCAAAAGTGTTTGGACGTAGTGTACAGGCAGGGAGAAGACAATCTGCTGACATCTAGTTTGTCTGGGATAAGACCAACATATACCCACCTAGCCTTAAGTTTTTCTCTCAGTGAGCAATCCCAGACACAGCAAACACAGCCAAACTTCTCAAATGCAACCAGGGTCTCCCTTACAGTGGGACCATATGTATCTGGCCCCTTTGTTACAATATCCATTAATTGTTTTCTTCATCAGAACAAGCAGTTCATTTTCCTTCATAGCAATTTTAAAGTGGCAAGCAGATGTCATGTTTCATGGTGAGTAAATGCCCACAGGTCTCAATAAGACTTAATACAAACAAGTGTTCTTAAACTAGAGTCCACTGTGAGACCACAGGTGGGTTAAGTAATGTATGTGGTGTGTTGCCATCAGGATTTGCCTTTTTAAAGAAAGAATCTGTACCAGGAGTTAGTATTGCTTATAAAATTGCATTTATTTGTATGAAGGTTAAATGTATAGCATCCCAAATTTAAATTAACTTTCACTTCTCAGTTATTTTGCCTTCCGTGAAAGTGACTGCTGGCTGTAAGTCTTTTAGGAACATGGGGATGCTTCAGAAGAGAGTCATAGTTTCCAGTTGAGTACACTTCTCCTTGACTGCTCATATAGAAGGGACCTCACTTAAAGCCTGGGAGACTCTTGGACATTCAGGTTAATCAAGATGATTTCCTCCCTTTTAGTTAACATTGTCTATATCAACAATACAATACCTTATTGACAGTTTTCTTGGTAAATACTGTCACATAACATTATCTGGAAGAGATACTTTGCAACTAGAGAGGTCTGTGCTTCTCTGAATTCTGCAAGGACTATAAACATCGCTGTTTATATTTTAAGGCCAAGGAAAATCAGTTCAGTATCTTTTACTGAACCTGTCAACTAATGTGGAACAAAATAATCCCAGAAACTACATGTGTCAGTGGGTTAACAACTTTACACTTGACCTTGTGTAGAGATATGTTCTCTGTTTAAAACAGTACCTCCAATTATTCCCTAACATTCCATTTCAAACTTCTTCCTCTGGTATAAGGCCCTGACATTTTAGAGTACTTCCTTGGTCTGAATGGAGATAAATTTCTTCCTTTCTTCCTTCCCTCTCCCCTCCCTCCCTTTTTCCCTCCTTCCCTTCTTCCTTTCTTTTCACGCAAGCCTCCAGTCCTGCTCAGCTTTGAGACTCTTCTGAGGTCTGCTCCTAAGTTCTTATGGTCCATGTGGGGAGTGTCATTCTGTGTTCCGTACAGCTGAGGGGACTGACATTCTCTGTGAGAGAAAGCACGAGGCAGAATAGTGCAGTGGCTCTCAACCCAGGCTGCCGCTGCTGGCTTCAGATCCCAGCCCCACAGCTTCTGGCTGTGACTCCTGGGTTATTCCCTCACCTTCCTGGGCCTGGATTTCCTGCTTCTGGATCAACTACATGTCAGACCCTGTACAAGTGTTTTAGAATCTCTCCTAGTCCTCCACCTTAGCGCCTTCTGGGAGTGTCCTGCCGTAGAACAAGGTGAATTTCTTCATCCACAGGTTTCACTCCTAAGCTTTTAGGACGCGGCAGGAGGTGCTTGGGAGAGACCTGCTTCCAAGGCTCCCTTGGGTTTCTTATCTCCTACTTTGCTTTCATTAAACATGACTTTGCCAAGAGTGCAAGAGATGATTGTTTGCCAGCCTTTCTCAGATTGCTAACCACTGGTAGACAGAGAACCTAGGGAAAGCCGATGTTCCCACTTTCCTTTTCGTCAGGTTGTCTTGGGTAAACCTGATCTTATTCATGAAGGATTCACCAGACAGGCACACTAGGTAACATGACCTACAGTTGATTCATAGTTCACAACTTTTGAAGTTTAGTTTCAGTGGGATACAACTGGAAGCTAGTTGAGGACAAAGTCCCATGCCTTCTGTCCTGTGTGGCAGTTTCTATGCTGACTTCCAGACTGAGTCCACTTCCCATCCATATTTTGGTAGGGACCAGTACTAGGCAATGATTTCCTATGTGTCACATATGCAATTTTCTCTGTCTAAGGGCTATTTTTGTTGTCTCTGTGAATCTAAAATTGCAATTTTGCAAAAATTAAAATTTTGCAAACCTGCCCATCATAGTGTTTTCTAAAATTCCCTGACCAGTTTAAATGCTAATTTAAGGAAATAAAGATCACATACTTACTTATTTATTTGCTCTCTCTTAAGTACTTATAATATATCCTAGCATATTTTGTAGCATGGAAGTGAATAGGTAAATATAAAAACTCATATTTTATCATGTGGTTGTCTTGGGAAATATTGGATACAGAAGTAATTATAATAGAAAATAAAGAATGATAAGTGCTATTAAGCTGTATAAGTAAAATGCTGCTAAGAATTTCAAGAAGGGAAAGTTTGCTTACAAGGTGAGCTGCAGAAGAAGGCTGGGGCAGGACCTGTGAAGGAAATTGGTGTGGCAGAGTTAGAAAAGGAAAGGCAGATTGCAGAGGTAGAGCGAGCATCACAGGGTATGTGTGCATGCACCAGGTGGTACAGGTGACGGCGCTGGAAAGAGTCAGAGATGGGCACATGGTGTGAAAAAGGAGCTGCCAAGAACTGGAAGATGAACTTCGTCTAGATTTTGTCTTAGGATCAGGCTAAAGAATTTTGAATGTAGGCTTCAGGAGGAGACTGCCCAAGATGTATTTGTTAGGAGTGCTCTGACTGTGTGTAGCAGACAGTCAGGGTAGTAGAGGCTTGCTCAAACATGCTTTATCTCCTTCCCTTTGAGCAAATGTAATCCAAGGAGGCCTCAGTTGGTCCAGCAGGCTAGTGACCTGCCATAGCTCCAAGACCTCGTTCTACCCATTCTCCGGTATTTAGCTACTAGTCATCCCGATTATTGATTTTAAATAGAAAGTTGAGAACAAGTTATTAAATTTCCATTATAATCAGAAAAAAAAGAGAGGCTGATAGTGCCACCTTTTGACGCCCTTCCTAGAGAATTAAAGATTTTCCTGAGCTCTCAGCACTCCCACTTGTGTCTTGTTGACTAAATAAAAATAAACACATGGCCACTCCCAACTGTAACTAGGGTGATGAATGTTGGGTTTTGGCAACAGAGCAAAGGATTAAGAACAGTTACTGGGTTAGCCTCAGAGTTCTGCTTCTGAAAAACTAGGACAGCAACAGTCAGTGTGGACTGAAAATGAGCAAGGATAGCTCATATCCTTCCTTATGTTACATATCTTTCTATAAAATATTATCTACAATTGATTTGTTTACCTCTACTTGTCATTTGTCCCTCATGTTGGATATATATATATCAGATATAGGTTACAATAATTGTTGTGGAACTTTTACATAAATTACTTGTTTATGAACCTTGCCTGTTATGGAAAGTTAAACTAAAATGGAAGTATGTTTTACCTTGTAATGGCATGCTTTGGGCAGCCATTTATTTCATGGTTACCATACTTTGTATATGATAGTTTCTAAATACATCTTCTGTAAACTAAGATCCTCAGTTTAGTCTTAAATGCAGCTACCGTTTTTAAGGAATCTTTCAACCACCTATTTATTCATCATTATTTATTTATTTTGTTGTACTAAGGATTAAACACAGGGAGGTGCAATGAGGCAAGTGCTCCACTACTGAACCATCCTAATTTTGTTATTTCAAAACAGATCTCGCTAAATTTGTCCTAGAACTTATTGTGTATCTTAGACAAACTTCAAAAATGAAAATTTTTTGCCTCTAGCAAACTCACAAATTTTTATGAACCTTAAATTTACCAG